TACAGCATAGACAATTAACTTCCTGAAATTCGAGGATCAGTACGTCACACATTTCTAGCTACTGGGTTTCCGAGCAGTCTCATTACAGTACGAAACAATGCAAAAACGCATGATAGCACGGGCCCGACCGTTGCGAGTCATCAATAATTTTGATCAGCGTCCATGCTTATGCCGACCAGGCTGCTAGCTGCACAATCCAGTTCAACCATACTTGTTCCACTCGGTCGAAGGTCAGTGCTGGTACCTAAGTTCCTTCCTCAGATGAAGCAAATGAACCTCGCCTAATGGCTATTAACAGCTGCTCTATGACACTAGCCGTAAGTTAATATGAAACTGAACTTTCTACAGCCCATCCTAATTGGTAACGAAGTGCTTAGCGAACTGCATGCAAGGAAAACAGTTAATCTGCCTCAACACGCCGCCACAGTGCGCTCATTTAGGATTCAAAGTAGTCACGAAAAGTGGGATAAAGGAAGTTTAAATATGCAGAATGAATAAAATTGCCTCCAAACATTTAAACGTAGCAACCTGAGGAAACTAAAAACATTTCAGTTTTTTCCAGTCAAAGATAGCCAGCACTAGGCTAAGGACTGAATTCCTGAAGTTTCAATGCCGGAATTTTTGCTAGTTCAGTTCAGCAGGTAAATGCACATGATCGCACAACGATACTACACTTTTGTAATGCTTTCTGAGCTATTCTGAAAATCTGGTATGAGTGGAAATTTAATAATAACGATTTTGGGTAGGAACCCGACAAAACAATAGGAGAACAAACCGATAGAGATGTGTACGCCCTATCGTTCCGTTTCAGATATATTCCGAGGTCTCATCCCCAACAATTCACGCAAATCCCGTAAATCCTTTAGCGTCTCTCGGACTGTTGTTTTGGGGGTCTGAGCCCGACTGTGCCTCATAAACTCAAGTCGAAAAACAGTAACCTTGCTGTAAGCTTCGGATGCTTTTCCCTTCACAGCTTCAGCTGCTTCGGATGCTTTTTCCTTCACAGCTTCTGCTGCTTCGGATGCCATCTCCTTGGCAGTGTCAATCACTCCTTTCTGAAAACTTCCCATCTGCTAATTATGCGAATGCTTTTTTGGAGACGAAGCAGTTTGTCTGTTGAAATGAAGTGAAATTTCTTTTAAAAAAAGCTCTTATGACACAAAATGAATTTAGCGGAGCATTCACCCTGTTTTCCAGCATTCATCCTGCCTACCAAATACAATAACTACGCATTAAAATGTTAGAAAAAATTTTTTCCAAAAAGTACATGCATTTTAAGCCAAAAAATCCTGTGTTTCTGCAAGCTATTCTTGAAGAAATCTAGTGTTAGCTAATTCAAATCGGTACCATGTCTTCTGTCCAACGATTGATCATTGGGCATTGGAAAATGAACAAATTAAACTTACTTCGTGATGGGACATATTTTGATTCAGTGCGAAAAAGCAGTAAAGGCCGGGAAGTTGTTTCCAGGAGAACGACGAGGAGAATCGATCAGCAAAATTTTTTTGTATGTTTTATACTGGCTGGAAAGTGAAGTGCTAGCGAACCCTCCTACCCAATAGGAAAAAACAAGGAGAACCAGGCAACGCCAGATGTATACACACACATACAGACACGCACAAGCGCATGCACTTTTACACTTTACAAAAACAAGTGGACCAACAGTGAAAATTCATCTGGAAATAAAAACCCAGGCTGGAACGTACGAAGTGGACCGGTGCGATCATGCGTTTTTGCACTATTTCATAATTTAGAAAGATCACAAGGTATCTCAGTGGCTAGAATTTTTGACACACTGGCCCTCGAAATTTGGGACATTAACTGTGCAGCTATGTGTCAATTGTAGATGTCGGCTTCAGTGACCCGACAAACGGAACGTCGCTGGTGCGCGAAAAGGACCCACTAGAAGTGTTGAACTTGAAATCTTTTAGTCGCACTGAGTAGGGAACATTCCCTTAAAATTCCAGCCTTCCAGCTTTTTTTGTCTCCGTGTTAACAATTTTCCCGCCAAAATTTTCACGTGCCCATACATGAGTTCCGGACGGACCTAAGAAGCCGAATTTGAAGCCCGTTGGTCTAACATGAATATTGAACATTTTTCTAAAGTTTCAGTCTTCTATCTCTTTTCATTCCCAAGTTAGCAATTTTCTAGCCGAAATTTTTGCGTGGCCGCACGTGATTCCTGGGCAGTTCTAAGGAGCTGATTTTGAAGTCCTTTGGTCGTATACGACTATTGAACATTCGTCTAAAGTTTCATCCTTCCAGCTTTTTTCGTTCCCAAGTTATCAATTTTCCCGTCAAACCTTTTACTCGCTCATACGCTGGGCCTGGATATGCGTGAGGGTTGTATTGCGGTTCCGAGGTGGTCTTTGGCCAGGGAACCAACTGGCAAAATTTTGGCTCTGGTGCTTGCTTGGTTGCCGAGTTAAAATACCTAGGCACACGAACACACACACACACACACATACACAAACACGCACACACACATACATACATGCATACACACACAGAGGGGGTCGCTGCAATACGAGTTTTTGCAATTTGCATATAAGCACCGGGGCTGGAAAGCACCAACTTGGCCGGTGCGATCATGCGTTTTTGCACCAAACTTGAACTAGCTGCATGATTGGTTGTTGCTTCACACCTACCTTGTGCGCTCAATACCGTAAATCATCGTAAATTTTTCACAAACGGAAATGAGCAACTTTGTCTAGCGGTCGGTTTACGCGTTTTGGCTGTGCAGCTCTATAGCGCTGCTACATCGAACAAAACACATAGGGTTCCCCTGTGTATGTTTGGAAGCAAGTGAACTTTTTCACCCACTTTCAACTCAGCAATCAGGAAAGCTGAGGGGAGCGGGGGGGGGCCTGAAGTTTTGGGGGCATATTCTCACCCCGTGTGTCACCCTCCCCCCATTTTAAGAACTTCCCTTACACGCGCCTAGATTTCACATATGGACACCCGGAAAAATATGTAGATTTTTTTGTCAGGAAACGATTTTGGGAACCAAGCATGCTTGAAAGCTGAAACTTTGCAGGGATATTCTACTTTCAAATGCGGTCTTAGTTCTGCTTGGAAATGAAATTCGCTGCAGGCGGGTATGAAAAACGCTCAACTTTACCATGAATTCAGAAACGAGTGTATCTTGCAGCGAACGACCGCCCTCGTCCTGTCCCAACAATCGTTGGCGACCCGCACTGGTGGGCCCCGTGCGATTATGCGTTTTTACAATGTTTCGTGCTGCAATATGATTACTCGAAATTCTGCTAGCTAGAAACCTCTTGTACATACTGGTCCTCGAATTTCGGGAACTTA